ACCGTCTTCTCCTCCAACCAGCCAGCCACAACAATAGCCACGATCATTTCTTCATCACCGAGTTTCCCTTTTCATGTTTTTTGTGTCATCTTGGCCTTTTTTGTCCAGATGGTTAAAAAAATGGTGCTCAAAGTACTTTTTGTTGGGTTGAATGTGAGGCATTATTTTTGGTCACGCAGTAATCTGAGAAAGGAGGGCGGGAAAAACCTCAAATGGCAAATTGATGGACATCTGTTGGCTTATTTTAGTTATTTATTTTGCGGTGGCCGAGGTCAGCTTGATGGGGCTGATAACAAGCAAATGAGATTAGGGGGAAGGTGTTGGTCCAGGCCATGTGACAGACCTCTTCCTGTCTGTCTGCCTGTCTGTCCACTCGGCCTGTCTCGCAGCAGAGCCAGATTTTATTTTAAACATTCCTCCGAGCTTCCATGTTGGGGGTGTTTGCAGCAGTAGTTTGGTGGCGAATGGGTGGGTGGGTCGAGCGGTGAATACCATGCTGTTCTCTGACAGAGCAGGCCTATGCTCTCATTGGCAGCTTGTGACTGCAGCACACATACACGGTGTACTGCATTGCATAGCTGGGTGAATCTTGCGCATGAATTCAACTATTGTGTTGCAAGGAAACCGTTTCTCTCAGAACACCCGGTTACTATTTATATCAATATTATACAATGGTCTGCTGAAGCTCATGGGGCTGTGCTCAGATCTGACCTCCAGGGCCCCGAGGTGTTCTTTTAATTTGGCACCCCATGACCCCGTAGCCCCATGAGCCACCGGTCATGTCTGCTTCAAAACAAAAAAAAAGAATCCTTGATTGTCAGTCCAGTTGTTTGAAAGTAATTAATAATTAAGCAACAATGACCCAGAGGCAGCGGATTACAGCGCAATATTGTTGCAGGTGTGTGCCAGCATAGCAAGATAATCCTATGCCTTTCAGTACTTATTGCTTCAATGAACCTGTTTGCAGCATCTGTGAGTTCAACTGAGAGATGTGCTTTGTATCCAAATAAACTGCCTTTCCAGTTCACTACTTAATCTGTGATTTCTGAGGTTATCTAGGTTGGAAAAAATGTGTTTGGATGGACGGGTGTTTGTATAGTGCTTTTCTAGTCTCGCTGACCGCTCAAAGCGCTTTTTATACTTCAAGCCACATTCACCCGTTTATGAAACATTTTTTTCACTTTAAACACTCGCATGCTAATAGCTACACGTGGGGGCAATTTGGAGTCCAGTATTTAGAGTATGCGAAGGACAAGCAGCCTGAGAACTGACCTCTGATCTCCTGAGCCATAGCTTTCTTTATTTGGTCAGCTGTAAAGCTGTTTGTCCTTAAATGAGTAGTAAATATGATTTATTAACCCTTAAAGTGAAGGTTAATTTAAAAAGTCGGGATGTCATGAAGAATTGCAGTTTTTGGGGTCAAAGGTGTGACTTTGAGGTCAAACTAACGATTCAAATGAAAACAACGCAACAGTTTTCACCCGAGAGAAAATTTAGTGGAAAACCGTAAAAAGGCCTACTTTGTGGCGTTTTCCAAAGGTGCAAGTGATTTCCCACAATGGGCAAATTACAGGTGCGGCAGACGCAGAGGAGACTGAGGAAAATGAACGTTTACACCGGTTTTAGGTCACCGTTCGCTTCCAACACAGTTTGATCGTCGTTTTTCTGCTGGGTGTTGAGTTCTAGCTCGGCTGACATTGTTTTCTGCGGTTGCGAACTGCGAGGGGGGGATGAGAGGTGCGAAGATTAGAACTGTAGAGTCCACCTAATAAAAATAAATCTGTTACTTCTGTTTCTGATATGAATGTAGGTTTGCTGTAACTGATCATTATCAAAGTTATCAGCCAGAGACAGTGTAGCGAATATAAGTAGACTTTTGGTTCCTGTTGCTGCAGCGTTTTGTAGTCATGCGATATGAGAAAATGCCTTTACAACAATGTTGTTGTGAAACACTTTGAGAGAGCGCCATATTCTCTATTGGTCGTCAAACAGGCCTGTTCTGAACTACCTGTTCTGTTTATTTATAGAGAGCCCTTAATGATCTTCAACAAAACACTGAGTACACTGCATTGAAGAGCCCTAGATTTTTGTTTTCTGGGCCGTATTGGAACACTTTAGCGGCAGGGGCAGCAAGTTCCATGATCCAATCAAGAGCAGTTGGTGCTTGTCAGCTGCAGTGGAGAGGCTCAACAAATTACATTAAACAATAAAGGGGAAAACAGATTTGAAACAGTATGGTAATATCAGTGGAGTGCGGGAATGTTGAACATAAAGTCTCGTTGATGGGGTAATTTTCGTGAAAAATAGTCATATTTAAGTAGGTTTCATATCAAATAAATTTCACGGTACGCCATATTTTACAATACATTTGTTACTTTACTTTATCCCAACTTTATTTCTTCCAAAGTTCAAGAGGGAACTGCTGACTTCTTTCTCTGTCTCGCTCTCGTTGTCCCTCTCCATCGCTGTCCTCTCTGCCGTCCCCCTGCCTCTGCCTGGACTGTGGAAGCAATGCAATTAGACAAACACAAACAGAGCTCTTGAAGCTGGAAAGTGCTGACTGTCCGCAGTGTTGGACAGGGGCGGCGTTTAAAAACATCATTTTCTTCGTGGCACGTGATCCTTCCTTCAGCATCGTCTATGGCAGCCCAGTCGAAAGCAAAAAAAGAGAGAAAAAAAGCCACACAAACGAACATTCACACTTGTGAACTAATAAACTCTGTACTTTATTTCATCAAATGGACTTCCTGGCATTGGAATGGAGTTCACGTCGCGCCTTTGTTTGATTGGCTCTGCTACTTTGGGTTTAATCCTGCTGGTTTGGGGAGTGTTTGAGTTGGATTACTCCATCGTTGGGCTGGGGTA